GTCTCTACACGAGTCAAATTAGGTATGAAATCAGAAGAATAATTCATTTTTTTATGGGCAAGTAACATTTTTATAGAATAAAACGAATGAAAGCATTCTCTAATTGAAGTGAAATAAGTAAAGTGAACAACAGGGTAAATGAATGATAATATCTCAGAAATTAATCTTTCCCACAGTTCATACCAAATCCAGAATTGCTTATTAGTTCGAACAACAATGAGAGTCAGCATCAAGGAATTGCTATTTCTTTCTGTTTGGTTTCGTTTTATAAATCTTAAAGCTTCCCACAATATAAAATGCAAAGTAATTCCAAGTACATAAACACTTGTTACACTGTTGAAGTAAATGAAAGTGTAACTAGCATAATAGAAGAGAGATGATATCTTTTTAGTACTTTAGTAAGCAAAGATAAAATGAAATTTTCGTACTCGACTACTGTAAGCATCATTAGCAAAATCATAATAGTTGGCAAACGAAGACAAAATAGAAATAAAGATTGTAAAGACCGGCATGGCTGGGTAGGCATAAATATGTTTCTTATGTCAAAAGGAGTGTGAAATGTTGTATCATATGAATAACAAGAAAACATCAAGTCCATGAATCTATAAAATTAGCAAAAGAAACATGAACACGAATTATATTTTACAGGGGCAAAAAGCACAGCCACTATATCAACTACTTACAAGCATCATGCCAAAAATATCATTCATGTTAACTTGCACAAGTGAAACAGAAATGGTTACAAGTACCAATTTATACTACGATAATCGTAATTATGACGTAGTTATAGCTAGTATTTAATTATTTACCAGCTATCAGGGAACACTGAATGGGTATACTAACCCAAAAACAGCTTATAACAAAATGCAAAAGAAAATAATAATGACTAGCAACAGTCCGATAATGCATGTGATGCAAGAGAGTTGGACAAGAAAAAGAACCCTCTATTTTATTGCATAACTTATTAAAATAACTCTTGTAAAGTACTTGATGAGAATTTCGAAAATATTCCACAAGAAATAAAGAAAAAGGCTCTCGTGCTAAAAAAAAATATAGAGATTAAAATAAATACGTCTTGCAGATCTAAAACCTGAAAAGTAAAGCAAATTTTAAAGCACAAAACAAAGTAATTTGACATCTTCCTCTGTACTGTTCCTCCATCAACCCTGCATTGAAGTCTGTTCACTGCAGTTTATGGGCAAAACTATGAAAGGAAAGAAATTTCACCAGACAATGTTTTCAGTCATAGTTGTCCATAAAATGTTCCAAAAGAACATACTAGATGAAGCTATTTAAATTGTCATGCATAACCACAACCACAAGAAAGCAATTTGTTGCTATTTTCTGAATAAAATCTACATATAATGAAAGGTAAACCCACCACAAAAAGCATTATGGTTTAGAGACCTCACCTACAGCTTCTTGGTTTCTCTGAGACATCTCCTGGTTCACAGCCTCGTAATAATGTAGCCTGTCCCATAAACGAGCAATCTCAGAGTTCTTCAACTCAATCTGAGATTCCATCTCCATCTCAACTTCAGCCTTCGCAGTGCCCCTCCCAATTAAATTTGAAACGAAGCGGGCAAGAAAGATTTGCTGGCACAGATCTGCTGCAGAATCACCTGACTGTCCACCCCCTGGCAAAGTAGTTGGATCTGCCGGGAGTGTCAACCCCACAAGAGATAACTGGTCCCTGATACTTTTCCATTGGTTTCGCATATCGTTAAGGATTTCTTCTGCTTGCTTCCTCTTCTCTATCTCCATCAACAAACTCAATCTTATTTCACACAAATCAGTTTCAATATCAGGAATTGAAGGCTGTGGCCCACTCTCTGATGACAATTCTGAGCATGAAATGATAGCAAGTCATGAAAGAACACTCTTAAGATATTGAAACAATGAATTCATGATGTTCATTATAGTTGATAACTAACAAAGTGGTTCAAAATGTTCATCTCTCTCTCTCTCTCTCTCTCTCACACACACACACACACACACATTTTATGAACAGACAGAATGTTAATGCTCAGGGTGATCCACAAGCATTTTGACAACGGATGCACGTTAAACAATCACAATATAAGAATATTTACTATATACATGAAAGCATTTACTATTAGTTCTAGATGTACTAAAGAAAGAAAGAAAGAAAAATTTGTCTTCATAAAATTAAAAGACAAAGGCAAAGGTACCTTCCCAAGCATCATAAAACTCAGCTGTTGGTGTTATTGAATTCAAAGAGCGTTCTGCTACACCAATACCCTCACTTTCACTATTGCTCTTAACACTCATCAAGTCCTGGGTATCAAAGAAATCATCCACCTCACTATCTCGCTGCAAATTAAATCCAACAGACTTCACTGCACTATTTTTAACAGTTGAACCATTGGTTAAATCACTGCTTCCATGTTCGCCATCAAACACACCATTCAGATCCTCCTCGGCACCATTGGGAATGGTTGGTGTATAATTATTATCCTCGAAAGAGTCCACAGGCTCATTATGAACACAGCTGTCATCCTTAGCTATGCCTACAAGCTCCTTTTCAACATTTTTTCCATTCTCATTGAACTTATTCTCATTCACAGCTCGTTGGTGAGTCGCAACATCATCCTCAGAGAAACTCTTCATGAGTCGAGGCCCCCGCCGCTTGTGATTAATGATATAAGGAGATGGAGGAAATGAAGACGGGGCATCAGGAAGTGGAGTTGACTCTGGTGTAGCATAGAGTGCAGGCGAGATTTGAGTCCAATTGTGTCTTTGGTCTACAACAGCCATAGTTGATGAACCATTTGTCCTATTGAGCTTTGGATTAGGAGGAACACTAACTCCCCTCTCTAGCTTCGAACTAGGAGAAATGATTCTCCTATCAAGACTTGAGTCTGGAGTACTATTTCTCCTAGCGAGGTCAGAAGCATTTATCACCGGCATCACAGACTTTTCAGCTCCTGGTCCTATCAGTCTGTCAAAAGCTATAGCTGTGAATGTTGGCATGACTTTCAAACATCAAACAATCTGCATCAAAAATTGATGTTTTCATCTTAATTAACAAAACGTGTCGGAAATTTTTTTTTTAATTCCTGCTTAAAGTTTGTTGCAATAGAAAATGAAAAACTTCGATTTCCATCTTATTATCCACAGACACAAAACAGGCTACAACAGCACAAAAATCTTCAAGTAACTGTTGAACAATCTTTACAAGTTACAACAGTGAATTAAACAAGGACTCCTAACTCTCACAATTCTGAAAATTCATAATCAATTAATTGAAAATGGGCTATTTTTTAACCTCCCATCGGAGTTATCTAATTATTCAAATAATCAAGATAATTATAGTGAAATCATCAAATTTACAAAGAGTTAAACGGGCATAGGCTTCCCAGCAGCAGCAACAAGAAGCTGAATGATCGTAAAGCAATTTAACTGTTCTATTAGAAAACATAGACTTAAAAGAATCAAAAAGCAAATCTCGAATTGCTAAATTATAAAAAGACGTCAGCTAACAACAGCCCATAAATTATCCAAAAAAGAAAAGCAAAAACCATAGACGATTCATTGACCAAAAAAAAAACAGAAAGGGAAAGGGAAAGGTACCTAAGGAAGAAGAGAAGGGAGAAACCCTAGAAAGGGGAGGCGAGGACAGATCAGCGGCGAATTAAAGGAATACAAAGTGGACCAAATTGAACGAAATCTTCATCAAAATTGCATCAATATGTTCAGAACTCGGCACATTTGATAATTATCAAATCATGATTTCTCTCTCACCTCCCCTAGAAGTTTCCCTAGTCTTTGGAAGGAAGAAAAAGAGACCCCGACTCTTCCACCTCTTGTTATTGGGGTTGAGGGGGTCGTCGGGTGGGGGTTGTGTGTCTGTCGTCAGTCGATATTTGAGTGCTTGGCAGGTCGTTGCCCGCAAAACACATTTGAAATGTTCCTCGTAGCTCACGAGGACAAAGACTTGTTTGGCTAAGGATAAAAAGTTTACTTATACGTAAATAAATAAGTATTATAATAACAGTCTGCTATGTATACAGAAAATGGCTGCCAGAATTTTGCCAGCAGACATTTGGCTGCTTTTTATTGGAAAATGACAAAATAAAAATAAAAAAGACCAAACAGATGCTACCACCTATTGAAATTCTTGCAGCAATTCCTCAAGGGGAATTGATATTATAATAAAAGGTATACCACGTAAAGTAATACTATATTGAATAAAATTATTTGTACAATCTTTATTGACATCTCATTTATTATCAAGATTTGTGCTTTTGATTTAATAAATAATTTTTAAAATGGATGGTATCAATTTCTGTCAACTCATGAATGCCAACGAATCATGGTTGTACATGTAGCATAATTCTCATTAATTTAAGCTTGGTCAAACATATTATCAAGATTTTTTTTTTTTCCTTTTTATTGTTTTTATTGGATTAGGAATTTAAGGTTATCTTGAGCCCATAGTTCACATTTTTCAAACTTTATTTTTAACCATACACTCTCTCATAAAATATATGTTGTACGTAAATTCAAATCTTTTTCTTATTTTATTATCATTCGTTATCCAAAAAATCAGTATTTCAAAACACATTTTTCCCAAAATTCTCATTTTAATGGAGTCCAAATAGGTGCACATCTCTTTGAATGTAAAATTAGAACATAATCGTTTTATTTTTTTATTATTTTTTTTATTTTGAGAGTCTATTTTAAAATAAGTAATTAGCACATAACGTCCACACATTTCACTGTTATTGTAAAAAACGTTTATTCATTTCATTTTTTGACATTTTCATCCTTATTTTCACCTTTCATTGAACAAAAAGTCTTTTTCATCCATCTTCTCAATTAAAAATTGTAAAATCAAGAATATACCATTCTCTTTAAATAAAACAAAAGGAAAAAGAAAAAATTAATTGCAATCATAATCTCAATTTTTTTTTTTAAATGTGCAAATGAGTTCCAAATAAATTATTAAAAAGATAATTAGTATAAAATGTCCCTACATTTAACTATTATTGTAAAAAACTCCATACCTTTTATTATTTTGGCATTTTCACGTAAACCATCATTTCTATCCATTTTTATTCAATTTCTAAAAAAAAAACTATGAAATGACTAATATACCCTCTTATTTAAATAAAAAAGACAAACAATTAATTGCAACCGTAGTCCCATTTTTTTAAAAAAAATTGCAAACGGGTCCCCAATAAATTATTAAAAAATTTAATTCTTTTAAAAAAAGTTCAAACGAGTTCCAATTAAATTTGTTTAACATTAAAAAAAATAAAAAATAAAAAGTGCAAACGAGTCTCAAATAAATTATTAAATAATTAAAAATTAAAAAGAAATTATTTTTTATTTAAATAGGAGGATATATTCATTATTTCACAGTTCTTTATTGAGAAATTGAATGAAAATGATGGTTTGTACAATCAAATGTATAATTAAGGGTGGATGCCAAAAAAATGAAAGGTACGGACGTTTTTCGCAATAATAGTGAAAAGTAGGGACATTATGTGCTAATTACTCTTTTAATAATTATTTGTAACTTATGTGTACTTTTTTAAAAAATTGGGACCGTGATTGCAATTAATTTTTTCTCTTTCTTTTTGTTTTATTTGAAAAGAAATGTATATTCGCCATTTCATAATTTTTAATTAAGAAAATAAATGAAAATGACCTCTTTCGCAATGAAATGTGGAAATAATGGTGAAAATGCCAAAAAAATGAAAGGTATAGACATTTTCCACGATAACAATGAAATGTGGGGACGTTTTGTGCTAATTACCCATTTTAAAATTGTTGAAAATACGTTTGATTTGTCTTTTTAATAAATTGTTTCTAAAAACATAAAACTAGAAAATCGTTTGGCTTGAAAATTTGAGAAATTGTTATGTGATACTTTATCCCATAAATTTGATTATAGGGTAAAATAGAAAAAATTTATGCCAGTATATTATCAGGTATATATATATATATGTGTGTGTGTGTGTGTGTGTGTGTGTGTTGGCAAAGCACGTGAAATAATAAAGTAAAAATTAATAACGTAGAAAATGTAAAAATTACAAGGAGATAATATGAAGCGAGTTATGTCATTAGAAATCTCTTTCAAACAAATTTTGTCCCTACACCGGTACTAACATAATATTAATTTTATCGGACAAACTAATCTTGATCATACTCATCAACACTAAAATAGCAAACTAAGACTCTAAAAATAATTTGACATAATTTGAAGAGCGGGTGAATTTAAAAATAAGTTATTTTGGAAATAATTTTAAAATAATTTTGACATTATTCGAGGAGAGAATGAATTTAAAAATCGGTTTTTTTGGAATTAATTTGGATTGAAAAATAAATAAAACTAGGAGGATTATATTTATAGATTCAATGTACTATTCTAAATGGTTGCATCTTTTGACAGATTTAAATTTGATTATTAGATCACACAATTTCAAATCAAAATATGATCTAGTGATCTAGATTGCACTATTTTCAAAGGTCACGACTCTTCATTATGGACCATTATACTTAAAAACTTGCACCTACGATCATTGATAGAAAAATACAAAAGGATTATCAATCAAAACAATAATCAAATCATTTATCTCATATAATAAACTCTAGATTCATCTTCATATTGAAATTCGAGAAAATAACTAAACATAAAACATACATATATCCATAGTAATCTGATTTTTTATCGGATAGGTTAGAATCTTCCAATTGATTAGTGATCGTCACTTCAACTTTTGTTCTCTATTGATGGGGATGTGGAGAAACTCAAGAACACCAATAAATAGGGATCATAACCATATAAAATAATAGTAGTAACTCAATAGTCACTATCTTTCATTTACTTTAAATTGGCCCCTCATCAATTTAAAACAACACTCCGATCTTTACACTATAATTTCATGAAATATAATATCCATTAGTCACAATACATCTTTATCGGATCACTTTAATTGACTAATATCTTTTAAACAATAG